ACACACACACACACACACACACACACACACACACACACATACACACACCCCACTTAGAAATTAAAGAAAAGAACTATAAGTAGAAGTCCCCAGGGACAGATATAGAATAAAGAATATTAGTGATCAGGACAGCACAGCCTTGTGTCTCTTTCACTGTCAGAAGCACACTTCTTTTCCTGTTTCAAAGCCCATCCTCCCTTTCAGGGTCCACCCACTGAGTTCCTGTTTCCTGTCTGAAGAATAACCACCTCCTCTCTTTGCAGGGCAAAGACAACAGACCAGTTATAAATGTTAGTGCCCAACAGCTCAGTTTACTATTTATTTTACTCAGTTCCTCAGAATCTGGGAGATGATAGATACATCACTAGGGATGAATTTCTCCAAATGGCTTATAGTACATATTTGTAACATATATTGGCATTTAAACACACTGTTTGCAGGAAGTGTAAATTTTCTGGAAAAATTATATCCTTCAAAAATTATGTTTGGAATATTGTCCAAGAAAATAGAAAAGGAGGCAAAGCTATATGTAGAGAATGTTCATTTCAGTGTTATATGCAATGATTTTTTTTAATTGGAAACAAGCTGGGAGCTGGTGATTCATACCTATAATCCTAGCTACTCATGAGGCCAAAATCTGAGGATCACAGTTCAAGCTAGCCTGGGCAGAAAAGTCCATGAGACTCTTATCTCCAATTAATCATCAAAAAGCTGGAAGTAGAGCTGCAATTTAAGTGATAGTCTTGGGCAAAAAAGCTAAAGGACAGTGCCCTGAGTTCAAGCACCAGTACTGGCACAAAAATAAACAAGCAAAAAAGAAACAACCTAAATGTTTTAAATAGGTGAATAAATAAGTCTAGATAGAAGAAAAATTATAGAAACTGTAATTTAGCCAAACAAAAATTATTTTACAATAAAATAGTTTATAGCTATTAAAAGTAAAGATATGGGGCTGGGAATGTGGCTTAGTGGTAGGTTGCTTGCCTAGCATGCATGAAACTCTGGGTTTGATTCCTCAGTACCACATAAACAGAAAAAGCCAGAAGTGGTGCTGTGGCTCAAGTGATCTAGTGCTAGCCTTGAGCAAAAGAAGCTCAGGGACAGTGCCCAGGCCCTGTTCAAGCCCCCAGGACTGGGGGGAAAAAAAAGATATGCCAGGTGCCAGTGACTCATGCCTGTAATCCTAGCTACTCAGGAAGCTGAGATCTGAAAATTGCAGTTCAAAGCCAGCCCAAGCAGGAAAGTCCGTGAGACTCTTTATCTCCAATTAACCACCAGAAAACCATAAGTGGTGTTGTGGCTCAGGGACAGCACTCAAGCCCACAGTTCAAGCCCCACAACCAACCAAAAAAAAAAAGTAAATATATGAAAGGATTTTGGTAGAGGGCCTACCTAGCATGTGCAAGGCCCTGGGTTCAATCCTTAGTACTACAAAGAAACAAACAAACAAAAGAGTATTCCATTCAATCTGGCTGACATATACAAAGTCAGTCTAAGAGCCAGTGGCTCATACCTGAGCTGAGGTGGCTGAAATCTGAGGATCATGGTTTGAAGCCAGCCTGGGCAGGAAAGTCCATGAGGCTCTTATCTTCAATTAATTGTAGAAAAAGACAGAAGTAGAACTGGCTCAAGTGGTAGAATGCTACCTTTGAACAAAATAAGTTCAGGGACAGGCCCATAGTTCAATCCCCAGGACTGGTAAAAAACAAAAATCAGAGTATTACCGCCACTGACTCTGTACTGACTCTGTATTATTCGTGTCTTTACTTGACAAATACTGATTACTATGTACCAGGCTAGGAACAAGAGACTTCACTTTATCACACCTTTCCTGGAAATTCACGTTTGTGGTTAATCCATCATTAGTAAATACCCATTTTGGGGGAGTGTTTACTAAGTGGTAAGCCCTTAACCAAGTGTATATTTTACCTTATTTAATCTTCAATACTCTGTGAGGTGGGGATCCTTGCCCCTATTTTTATAGATAGAAAAGGCTAAGAAACCAAGTCACTTACCAAAGGTCACAGAACTACCAAAGTGGTCAAGTCAGATGTGAACCTAGTTTCGGCTGACTACAAAGCCCATACTTCTCATGTCTTTGCTAAATTCCCAATTCTAGATATATACAGATAATATAGACTACATCACTGAGGCTAACTCTTTCCTTACATACCATGCTTCTATATTTCATTGACTGCTATTTGCTTAAACTAGCTGGGCACTCATTACCTCATTATTGCTCTTTTTTTTTTTTTGCCAGTCCTGGGGTTTGAACTCTGGGCTTGGGTGTTGTCCCTGAGCTTCTCAAGGCAAGCACTCTACCACTTGAGCCACCGTACCACTTCTGGCTTTTTTGTAAATAAGAGTCTTTCCTGCCTAGGCTGGCTTGGAACCCCATCCTCAGATCTCAGCTTCCTGAGTAGCTAGGATTACAGGTGTGAGCCACTGGCGCCCAGCTGCTCTTTGTCTTTCTTGTGCTACTGTTTTCTCTTGTTCCATCATCAGATTGAAAATATATTTTCATGTCTATAAAAAAGAGAAGCTATTAGACACCAGCTCTAAATGGCTCTTAGTTCACATGATATAGCCTCCAGGCAGCAGAACTCCTAACTGGCAGTATGTTGCTTGTAACTTTTTCACAGAGTTTAACTCATTCATTCAACAAGTATATATTTATATTTACTATGTAGCAAGACTTAAAGTTCAAACCTCCCTGATCTATTTTCA